ATCTGGAAACTTGGAATTCCAAAGCTACATGTGTCCCTGGAAAATGGCTGAGGAGTAACATCAGGAATGTACTTCCCTGGCAAATAAATGGTCACAGTCTATCCTTTGCCTCACTAAGAGCTTTTCTACATCTAAAATGCTATAGTGCTTCTAGGGAAACGCTACCTATGTTGACAGAATCATAGAATCATAGAATAATAGGACTGGAAGGGACCTCGAGAGGTCATCGAGTCCAGCCCCCCGCCCTCAAGGCAGGATCAAGCTCTGTCTACACCATCCCTGACAGATGTCTATCTAACCTGTTCTTAAATATCTCCAGAGAGGGAGATTCCACCACCTCCCTTGGCAATTTATTCCAATATTTGACCACCCTGACAGTTAGGAATTTTTTCCTAATGTCCAATCTAAACCTCCCCTGCTGCACTTTAAGCCCATTACTCCTTGTCCTGTCCTCAGAAACCAAGAGGAACAAATTTTCTCCTTCCTCCTTGTGACACCCTTTTAGATATTTGAAAACCGCTATCATGTCCCCCCTTAATCTTCTTTTTTCCAAACTAAACAAGCCCAGTTCATGAAGCCTGGCTTCATAGGTCATGTTCTCTAGACCTTTAATCATTCTTGTTGCTCTTCTCTGTACCCTTTCCAATTTCTCCACATCTTTCTTGAAATGTGGCGCCCAGAACTGGACACAGTACTCCAGCTGAGGCCTAACTAGTGCAGAGTAGAGCGGCAGAATGACTTCACGAGTTTTGCTTACAACACACCTGTTGATACAACCTAGAATCATATTTGCTTTTTTTGCAACAGCATCACACTGTTGACTCATATTCAACTTGTGGTCCACTATGACCCCTAGATCCCTTTCTGCCATGCTCCTTCCTAGACAGTCGCTTCCCATCTTGTATGTATGGAACTGATTGTTCCTTCCTAAGTGGAGCACTTTGCATTTCTCTTTATTAAACCTCATCCTGTTTACCTCTGACCATTTCTCTAACTTGCTAAGGTCATTTTGAATTATGTCCCTATCCTCCAAAGAAGTTGCAACCCCACCCAGTTTGGTATCATCTGCAAACTTAATAAGCGTACTCTCTATCCCAATATCTACATCATTGATGAAGATATTGAATAGTACGGGTCCCAAAACAGACCCTTGCGGAACTCCACTTGTTATCCCTTTCCAGCAGGATTTAGAACCGTTAACAACAACTCTCTGACTACGGTTATCCAGCCAATTATGCACCCACCTTATCGTGGCCCTATCTAAGTTATATTTGCCTAGTTTATCAATAAGAATATCATGCGAGACCGTATCAAATGCCTTACTAAAGTCTAGGTATATGACATCCACCGCTTCTCCCTTATCCACAAGGCTCGTTATCTTATCAAAGAAAGGTATCAGATTAGTTTGGCATGACTTGTTCTTCATAAACCCATGCTGGCTATTCCCTATCACTTTATTACCTTCCAAGTGTTTGCATATGATTTCCTTAATTACCTGCTCCATTATCTTCCCTGGGACAGACGTTAAACTGACCGGTCTGTAGTTTCCTGGGTTGTTCTTATTCCCCTTTTTATAGATGGGCACAATATTTGCCCTTTTCCAGTCTTCTGGAATCTCTCCTGTCTTCCATGATTTTTCAAAGATCATAGCTAAAGGCTCAGATACCTCCTCTATCAGCTCCTTGAGTATCCTGGGATGCATTTCATCAGGACCTGGTGACTTGCTGACATCTAACTTTCCTAAGTGATTTTTAACTTGTTCTTTGTGTATCCTTTGTGCTTCTGCCATTGATATGGGTCTCTACCTTCCTGAGAGGTGGCCGTTCAGTCTACAGGAGAATACTGCATGGGGCGTAGGTTGGTGTAACTGCATCATTTTGAGGTGTAGATTTGTCCAGGCCCGCCATCAGGAATTCCAGACTTCAGGCCAACACTTTAATGGGCTCCCTGTTGTTCTCCCTGAGACAGAGCCACTAGCCACCTCCCTCCCCATCCAGAAAAACCCCGAGCACCACTCCACAATCAGAGGAGACTCTGGTCAATTGCTGCCCCATTGCCCCACCTACCTGGAGGTGCCCCTCCCACTCTCCTTCCCCTCTGTGCCTCCCCCCGTCCCAGCCACCTGCTACACGGCTCTGCTCCCCGTAGGTCCTGTGCCTCCCCTTGGCTCCCTTCTCCCAGCCTCCCTTGCCTGCGCCCCTCTGCTCTTTTTCCTTCCCGGTCTGATTCCTCTCCCCCCCCCCCTCTCGGCCCTCGCTCTTCGCAGTCCGGTGTCTAGCTCTCTACCCTTGAGCTCAGCTCCCTCCCTCTCTTATAGGGATGTAAAGGGTTAACTGGGTGGCCTGGCCTTATAGCGTGATACTTACCAGTCAATGGGTTAACAGGTGTCCAGCCCAAGCAGCCCTCATCCACACTGCGGTGGGCTGGGCCCGGCCTGTCTGGAGCAGCCTGCAGCACAGCAGGTTTGACCAGGCTGGAGCAGCCTGATTCCCCTGCTGTGGGGGGCTGCTCCAGCCCGGCCAAGCCCGCCACCCACAGGAACCTAGTTAACCAGTTAAACTGAATGTTTAACCAGTTAGCTAAGAACAGCCATACTGGGTCAGACCAAAGGTCCATCTAGCCCAGTGTCCTGTCTGCCAGCAGTGGCCAATGCCAGGTGCCCCAGAGAGAAGGATCACAACAGGTAATCCTCATGTGATCCTTTCCCTGTCACCCACCTCCAGAGAAACAGAGGCTAGGGACACCATTCTACCCATCCTGGCTAATAGCCATTGATGGACCTAACCTTCATGAATCTATCTCACTTTTTTTTTTAACCCTGTTAAAGTTCTAGCCTTCACTGCATCCTCTGGCAAGGAGTTCCACAGGTTGACTGTACCTTTTTAAAATGGATTTTATATCCCTACTCTCTTCCCAACCTCGCTCCTCATCTCTATTCTCAGCTTGCCTCGCCCTGCCCTGCTCACTTGTGTGGTTACAAAATTGCAGCCATTGCTGCTGCCGCTTGGCCAGGCTCCTCCCGGAGCTCTGCCTTCCCAGCACAGCTGGAGGCTGCTGTCCCAACTCGCCTTCTGGTTGCCCAGGCCTCTCCTGCTCCTGCACTGTCTGGCAGGGTGCACCACAGGCTCAGCAAAGCCGCTCTGCAGCCGGGGCAGGCACTGGACTCCGGAGTGCATCTAGGAGACCGGAGCAATGTAAAAGGGCTCAGGTCTCCCAACCACTGCTACTGCAGTGGCACACAGAGGACCCCTGGCGCTTTTAAATCACCCAAGTCCCTGGGTAATTGCTCCCTCCTACCCCCTCTCCCATCAGCAGGCCTGGATTTGTCTCACTCCTGAGCAATGTAGTTACATGTAATTGCCTAGGGCAGACCAGGCCTTATTTCTTCACATTCTGGATTTCCTTCTTTAGCCAGGTGATTTGGCCTGTTTCATTCTCATCACTTTTCCCTTGGCAAGTCAGCTTTTGCAGAAGCTGCAATTCTTGTCTGGGACTGACTGGAAGACAGGATGGATTATCTCCAGGCAGCCTCCAGCTTTTTGGTTCTTGGTTTGCTTTTAAAATGAAAATAGAAAGTCGTGTTAGGGGTGGCATATGTGTGTGGTGGGCACTGGGGAGATTTATTCACTGGTGCTGGATTGTGCCCAATCTTCTGCAGGCAGTGACTCTGATTTGTGGAAGAGACACGTCCATCTCTTTTCATGACCTGCACAGGGGCTGATGATAACAGCCGGTCCAGTGAGCAGGGCCTGCTTAACCATTGCTTCCGCTCCCTCCATGGAGCAAATCATGCAAAATGAGATCTGGG